TCGGTACAAAATACTTTTTTTTTTTTAATTATTTTCTGTAAGATTTTTTTTTGTATGATTAATATTTTTATTAATTTATTTTCTTTTGATTTCGCTATGTCTGTAAATTGTTTGTTAAATATTAAATTTTACCCTGTTTCAACGTTGCTCGCTCTCTATGTGTTAGTAAGTAATTTTTCAAAGTATTCCTATTTCATTTGTAAAATATTTTGTGTGTGTTTGTCTACAAATTTTTTCACTATTTTGTATTTATTTAATAATTCTTCTGTAATTCAGTAGCCATAAGATAAATTCGGTCATAATTCGGTGCCATGTAAAAAGAAACAGTAATGTTGTAATAATATTGCGACTACATTCTATAAATATTAAGTATTCACATAAAAATTACTAAGGTTAAGTATAAAACACAAAAATATTGATATTAAGATTTGTGCCGAAGTCAAAAAAACATGAATATGCTTTATAATGAATGCCGCACCGACACACAGAAAACCCCATCAAATCATCCGGCTCAGAGATTCAAGGGTTAAGGCAATCGGAAAATAATCTCTTTTTTTATACATAAATAAGAAGAAGAAAAGGAAGAAAAAACAATTTATTTATCTTTAATAGAAAAGCAAACTCTAAGTACACATATGCATGTGTGTATGTATGTATCTATCTATCTATCTATCTATCTGTTCTGAGAGACTGATTTGAATTTTATAATATTAAGACAGAATACCCGGCGAACAGAATGAGTAGAAAATACAAAAGTGAATATTAATCACTCCCTTAAGTTGTTGTTGGCTTTTCAAGCAAAGCTATTTCGTTCTTGCCACTGTTTTCTTGTTTTTTTTTAGTTTTGCACCAACAATGCGTATCGAGAACTATCGTGATGTTGAATGCATAGAAGAGAGATCGTAAATGAAACTGTGACACGCCTACCATTTTTCTATGCTTTTATCGCTTTACGTATTTTATTGTCGTTGTCAAGAACGTGCGCCCAATGTCAAATTGGAACATGTAGGCAATGGACAGAAATTGGCTGTAAGCAGCAGCAAGTACAATCCAACTGTCCATGCACGCTACGGAGGGCAGAGAAACGAAAATTTGAAAAAAATAAAGGACCATTCGATTAGTTGGTTGTGCGGTATTGTGGACTGAAGAAGAACTAGAGACTCCATATTACAGATAGAGAGAAAGAGAGAGAGAGAGAGAGAGAGAGAGAGAGAGAGAGAGAGAGAGTTTATTTACGCTTTTATCTAAGATGAAAAAAACAAGAAAGAAAATTCACTCGTGACTCGTACCCATCACCGTGATCCTAAAAAGGAAGAACGAACTAAATTCTCGTAAATAGAAATTTATACGGTGCTTGTGTGTGCTGTGTTGAGTAAAAAAGTAAAAACCATGGAGATCAAAGGTGCTCTCAGTTCTTGCAACATAGGCGTCTTTTTAGGGCATTTTCAAGCTCTTTTGCAAGTTTGCGGGCGATAACTTTACTTTTGCGAAAGGTAGAATGTACACCACAGATACTACAAAGTTGCTCAAGTGGACACATGGACAGATGACCGGATCGACATGCTTAGATGCATCTAAAAAAAGTAAAATTAAATGGGCTTAGAGTTTTTTCTTTTGATTTCTTTTAAACAAAACAATCCTTTTTCTTAGATTACACCCTATAACCTTCGCTAGAGCTTTTCTTTTGATAGGAGCCTGGAATCAGTAATACAAAGTTCATGATGAATAGTCTCGAATACTCTTGGATAAGTAAATATATTGCAAACATTTTGTGACGACAACTATACAAATACGGACGTGAACAAAACATGAAAGGCCCCCCCTCTCGATATTTGCTCGCGAATGGAGTTGCAATAATAATGCAAATATGAACGATCACAGTAACGTTATATAAGCACAGGCGCAGTAAGCCTTCGGAAGAGACAAATTGGGAAACGAAATAGAAGTAATCGGGAAACACTCGATTTCTGCATTTAGCGGGCATTGTGTGTGGACTCAGCGTTTTAAAATGCAGTCAAAAGTAATATTTTGGTTAGAAGGAAGGGTTTTAGATTTTTCTCTCATTGGGAATTTTCTTATAGCATAAACCTAAAAAATAGCCACACACATACAAAAATTTTAAACAAATTTGGAGAAGCGACAGCGCTAAGTGAAAAGAACATTCCAAAAATAAGCAAAACTTGATCAAAAAATTAAACGGAAATAAATTTTTGCTGCAAAAAATATATTTTGTGCTTAAGACATATTTTATTCTAAAAGAAGAAATTAAATGTTTGCAGTTGGGAGAGAAAGTGTAGTATCGTAGGTCTGACAAGGTTAGTGCATTTTCAATCAATCAGTCTGCGTAGTGCCCAACGGCGAACGCCTTATACGATTTCAAACAAACTATTGCTTAATCATATGCTTCTCCAAGTAGCAGAGACCTTTCTTTAATGCAATATATTTTACAAAATGAAGCAGAAAAGACTTCTTTCACGATGTGATTACCTATTTTATAAAATTGAATAAATTGTCGCTTGTTCAGAAGATACTTTTCAAATATTTGACGGTTCGATTGAAACATAATTGATAGATGAAGGGGCCCTTGCGATTATTAATCGCGTAAACATATTCTATACAGCTATCTACTTGAGTATCACAAGCAATGTGATGAAGCAATTATACCCACATTTTGTGTTGATTAATGTGAAAAGTTAAAGAAAAAAAAAAAACAAACACAGAGACACAAAAAAATGAAAGCCCCACCTTCGCAATATTTATTAGCATGAGATTCCAATAAGAACACGAACGTGAGAGATCACAGCTCTCGTATGATAGCGCATGCGCACTAAGTGGATAGGAGAAATTGGAGGAAAAGTAGAAGAGTGTCGAAAGCAATTGTGAAAGCTTTCTGCGTTGTTCTGTTCGCCTGGTATTTCACTATGATTTTTACGTGAGGTTTTTATAGAAAAATTTCTTTCTGAGTGATTGGATTGATTGATTGATTGATTGATTGATTGATTGCTTTTTCATTCATTCCATGCATGTTGTCTTGTCTGTATAGCATGCTCTCTCTCTCTCTCGCTCTCTCTCTCTTTCTGTCCCTCTCTCTATCTATCTATCGTACTCCAGCGTAAACTTAACAACGATAATGAGCTGAGATGTAATAACAAAAAGAATTTTGACGCGTAAGTTTTGCAAACGGATTGGAATTCTGTGACAGACAAATCAATACATATTGAGCAACCAACATATGTGTGAAGAGTTTAAAAAGGATTTTTTCTTTTACTTAGAAATGAATAAATATAGGAAGGAACTAAACGGGGGGAAAGAACGATGAACGGTGAAGCACAAATTTTCATATATACATTAAAATTATTAAACTTACATAAGATGAGATACTTAATGCTTATGCATTTTTCAATGGTTTTGTGCGAGTTTGTAAAGTCCCTTTTTTTTTTTTTGAACGAAAAAGAAAAAAAACATAAACATAAAGAAGAAAATCCGAGGAAAAGAAAAGGCAAAAGCAAAAACCGAAGAAATAAAACTAAAGCCAAAGATTTTTTTAAACATTTAATTTAATTTCTATATGTATACATGTAAATATACATATCTATTTGTGTGTGTGATTTTTTTTTTATTTTTTTTTTTTACATAGATTATTACATTTTATTATAATTTGTATAATAATTTATTTATATCGAGTATTTGTTTGTTGTTGTTGTTGTTGTCTTGTTTTTATGGATGCACAAGCCGAACTATTGTACACTTTCAGATCGGATGAGACTTGCGTGTGTATGACAATATCTTGGTTTTGTTGGTTGAATTTTTCTTTTTTACACCGAATAGTTTTTTTTTTGTTATATTAAATAATAATAAGGTAAAAATTAATAAACAAATAATTCTTACTACTTAAGGTTATTGTTAAATGATTTTGGTTTTTATGTAATACTACTGGCGTTTTTTCTTATTTTCATTTTCATTTTTTTTTTTTATATTTACAGTTAATTTTATTTTCCTAAAAATTTATAAACAAAAAAAAAAATATATATTTTGATTATTGTAAAATTTTAAAAATTAAACTTAAAATATAATAAAGCAGAAAAATTATTTAATACAAAATTTAACATTAAAAGACTTTGAAAGTCTGCGATTTGGATTTTATTGGATATTTTCTAATAAAAAAAAAAAAAATGTTTTTTAATTTAATAAAAATTATTAAATTAAAACTAAAAGAGATAATTGAATATTCATTTTTTTACAGGTTTAAAAAAAAAAATGTATATATATATAGGAACTAAAAGCACCAAACATAAAAAAATCTATATTTTTGTTTATATGTAGTAAAAAAAAAAAAAAAAAAAACAAACAAACAATTTCTGCTATATTTATTATATAAGTAAGTATTATAAGCATAAGTGTATATTTTTTCTTTTTAAATTAAATCGTTGTTTTTTATTTATAAGCATTAACTTTTAATAAGATTTTCTTAATATTGTCAGCTTGTGTCAAAAAAAAAAGAAGAAAATTGCACCTGCCGTAAGGCGAGACTTGCACGTCCATCACCTCAGTATATCTGCGGTTGTATGTACGTTGATAATTCCTAAGGATATGACGATTTCCACTTTGAACTTGTAAAAGACATACATATAGCGGTACTATGAACGCTTTACGGATTTCGGTCGCCTTTGCACATAGAGTTCAAGTTTTGGCTTTCTATATAACCTCCCGGCAGCCCCCTGAACTAACTACTCAACTATTGACGGACAGCTGTGCGGACCGACCAAATTGGTTCAGAATTTGCCTAAAGTGACTTATCTGATCTAACCGAGCACTTTAGCGATGGACAAGAAAAGGAAAAAGAAAACCAAATAGAAACAAAAAGCCAGAAAAAGTCGCTAGTTGGCATAAAAAAAAAAAAATACATCTATATATATTTATATTGCAACCAATAATTACTTAGCCGATGTCCCAATTATCGGTATTGTTCGTTCTTACATATAATAAGAAAAAAAATTAAGGAAACATTGTAATAAACACATTGGATAGAAACCGATAAACAAATTTTTAGGGAAAAGGAAATTTAAGAGGAGGCTTTCTTCTTTCTTAGCCAGCATTACTTAAGTGTTAGTTTTTACCTCTAAGTTCGTATAACGGTCGGCGAGATGTTTAAAGGATTCGGGAGATTCATAAATGCATTGATCGCATTGTCTTTATTATTACCTGTTACTGGACGAGCTGGATGGGCTGATGCTTGATGCCCGTGATGATGATGATGGTGATGATGATTTTGATGGCCATGATGCCCATGATGTTTACTGAAACGTTTTTGACGATAACGTCTTAATTTCTTACGGCTCATATATAAATTTTGATTAAATTCACGCGTTCGTTCGGATGTCGAACAATGATGATGACGTCGGTTACTATTGGTTAGGTCGGCTATCAAAGGATCGTCGATATTAAGAAAGTCGTAATTGTTTTCTGCTGGCGGGAAAAACATGGGATTTGAACCCCAATCCCGCCATAAATTTCAATCTTGCTGTCCCCCCGCCCCACCACCGCCATTAGCCTGTGAATTGGAAGCAGAATTTGAATTATTATTTGTCGCATTATTGGTCATTAGATCGCCGTGACGTCTCTCCTCAGGTGCTCGTTGCATTGCTAAAGATTGAGCTGCCGCCGCAAATTCATCATCCAAAGATGATGATTGCTTGGAGCGATCGGATTTGCAATCTTCATCCATTCCTAGGCCGTGATGCATTACGCCACCGTGCTGTGATCTGTCTGCGGGTGGTAAGAGATTCAACATGCTTAACGGTAAGCCAGGAAAACCTCCCGGAAAATCGGGGTAAAATCCTTGAGGATTAAAAGGATTGAATAAAGCGTTAGGGCCACCCAGCAAATCAGCTTCAGAGTTAGCGTTATGCGGACCGCTGCCTTGTCCAGTCGCTAAACCGGCTGCTAAATCTAACTCAGCCGCTGCATTAGCGGCGGCATTACGTTGAGCTTCTTTGCGCGCCTCCCTCTGCTCTCTAGTCTCCCCGGAATTTTTGCCTCCACTTGCACCCATTTGTAGTAATTCTAACGGTGGACCACTAATACAGTCTTTGCGTAGCTGCTCAAGCTTTAGACTTTTTCCATATTTGCCGCGCACGTACATCAGCAAAGAGTTGTAAGGTATGCCGAAGATGCGCGAAGCCTGAGAAGTTGTCATTTTCTTATTCCATACGTGCTGTAAAGCTTCCGTTAGCTCAGCATTAGTCCAGGAACGCGGTGGACCGCCCCTAGGCGCTGAATGCTGGCCTTTTGGTCTGGGCACTGTAACGAGAAGAAAAAGAAGAAGAGGGGAACAAAATAGAGTTGCGGTTATACTCAATAGATTATCTTTAAAAGGCTTTTAATGTATTAATTCCTTTAAATCATCGAACAAACACGTTTATAAACTTTTAAAACCTAATAAACTTCATCACCCACACCCTGCAGAGACAGAGTAACAACAAAGAGAACAACGGCAATAGCATAAAAAAAAGGGGCTTCACATACACAATAGCAATGATTACGATACTGATGTTGATCACCATCATCATCGTCATCATCATCATCATCATCATCATCATCGTCATGTGTATTGTGTAGAAAAACTTTATCATTGATCACACTGTGGTGGTTCCATATGCAAATTACACAACAACAACAACAATAATAATAATAAGTAAAAATAAGTTAAGCGAAAACAAAAAAAAAGAAGAAAAATGAAAGAAAAAACTGCAATAAAAATTGAAAAAGAAGGAAAATTCCTCCACATGTAACCCATACGTTAAACTCACTCCTCTAAATATCATGCATGCCTTAATAATATGCATTCACAAACCTATATGTATGCGTGTGTTTAGTTCAAGCTTACATATGTTTATCGAACTGACTCTTGCCTGCTAAAGTTACCGATGCTGGTGCTCTATTGCCTTTTGTGAATATGTTGGTTGTTGACTTGTGTGCATCTCAATTGAGTTCAGTGTTCACCTAGAGAGATGCTTATCTGATATCTTTTTGCCACAGGTTGTTGCAAAAACAATAACAATATGTGATCTTTATAAAGAGTTTATATTCTTTTGATTCCTTTTTTTCTTTCTTGTTCTTGCTTTTTGTGTTAAGGGAATGAACAAGGATGAAAGCTACGAATCGGACCGACTCTTGGATACGTTTACAAATGTTTGTTTTCTGTGAACAATACGCTTTATTTCATCACAAATGCAGTTTTAATGTTTACCTAGACACGGGGCAGTCTCAAGAGAGCTATACGAGGAGAGACGTAACATTATTCCAAGTTAAGGCGGAGTTGTAGCGGGAGGAAATAAGAAGCGCATTAACTTTTATTATCAAAGGCTTCCAATCTCCAATTGGAATTTAAAAGTCCCTAAATTCTGTAACGCTTAGTGTGTTCAAGCTGAATCTAGGTATTTTAGTTATATCTGTCTATGCTTAGACGACTAAGATGTCAATGGGTTGCACATATAGGATTAAAAATTTCGTTAATGACTGCGCTTGAAAAATAAAATAGTATCGACCCAAAATGGAAAAAGCAACCAATCTTTTTATGAGGTTTTTTGCTAGATGGAAACCCTTTTCCTTCCCCTTGATACACTTATAACTCATATATGTTATTATTAGTATTATTATTATAAATTTAGCCAGAGAATAAATTCTAAGACTAAAAGTCTTAAAGAACTAGCGGCTAAGGTTTGCGGCTTTATTAAAAACTCTACCGCACTTGACATTTGAACCCACGAGCATTGAATTGTTAGTCAAGACTCTTGCCTACTCGGCCACTTAGGCAAATAACTCATATATAACTTAGGTATAATGGAAGAAATTTCACTTTTACGTTTTGCTTAAGAATTTTTATTATATAACGGGAAGGAGGTACATGGGAAGAATTAAACCAGGGTTTGCTGTGTGTAAAATAATTCATTGTGACACCCACCTTTTGAACGTTTGCATATTTCCTAAATTTCGCCTGGAAAGAACGTGACTTGTTTGACAGTAAACTGCCACTACTCGATGGAAAAATATTACGTTCACGGTCTACGGTGCAGCAGATATAAGTACATTAGATAACATATAGTAGATATAACCTCATTGAACTCGACGACAAGAAAGGGCCAAAAATACAATAAATAAGAGAACCGTTACTTGTTCAGGTCAATTTAAAGCAGAAAGAGGCTTTGGACGAACAACAGCTATGCTACGGCATTCCGAAGCACAGTAAACCTTAGCGCAGATTATACGAAGCGTGAACATCACACAGCTAAACTGAGCATTTATAAATTCACATCCATACTCTGCATTTTGTGGATGCCATTTAGGAACTGTTTGCGTCAGGCCATACCAACCCAACGCCGTTACTGCGGAAGACTGCCAAACATCTCTGGTGCATAGTGCACTGAAGGTGAAACGGGCATAAAAATATGTCAAGCTGGCCTAAATCGCCGCGGAGACACAAGATCTTGATTACAAACTGAATGGTCATGGGTTCAAATCTCCGGTGCCCTAGTATTTTCGATAAGACCTTAAATGCAAGTGGTTTAAGACTTCATCCTTGGAACTTATATCTCTGGCTAAGTTGATAGTAATGATAATGACAGAGCCTTGTCACACATTTACAAGCACATAATTTGAAGTACTAGACTTCCAAGTTATACTCAGCAGAATTATCTTTTTCGACTTCCAATTGCGTGTTTTGTGGCTTGCCTGATGGACGGTTCCATTCTTATGACGGTTCGTTTATGGCCCTAAAAGGCGAAGGAACTCTTTTGCTGATGTAAGCTAATGTAAATACAGAAAACCGAAGTGGATATCGCGCAACACACCCTTGCGGCGAATACTCGGATGACAAAGCAAGATTTTTTTCATCTGTCAGTGTTAAAGAGGGAAGGGCAAGAATATTTAAGGTTTTGTTAGTGCAAAATAAGGGGCAACAATTAAAGTTGCTCGTCCCTTCGATCGGAAGATAGCAGGAGAGTTGTTTAGAATTTCAACGCAATTGGTGAACTTTTCAGGAAGTCGGAGGAGATGAAAAAATCTTCTCTGAAACCTACATTTCCCGAACTACTCTCCATTTAAGATGAGGAGCTGCACAGATTAAAGGATTACCTCGTAGTTTGTCCTATTGTCTTAGTGCCATGAAGCTGTGACTGAAGATTTCTCGTTCCTTTCATAGTTCAAAATAAAATAAAAATTAAAGCAATCAGCAGACATAATGAGCTGAATAATCACGAAAGTATCGCAAATTTTTTATTAGCTTACAAAGTACGTAGTAGATAGCGATCTGAAAAGTTAACAAAACAACTAAACGATTTCCATACCATATTCTTATGATGAGTATCTGATATTCCTCTCAGCTAAATTTATATCTTTCTTATTAGTTCTAAGGGACTTTTTCTTTCTAGTTCTTGTACGTTTGAAGGCAAACAATATGTAGGGAATTGATCATAGGATGATGTTCCGTCTCTCTTGCCTAACGAACAAGCACAAGTAGCTAAATATACTTTGCCGATAGTGGAAAGACAAACGACAACGAGACTAAATGTGGCAAATCTTAAATCACGCTTAAAATGTGAACAAATCATTTAATCACACACCCACACCAGCACATCTACAAAGCGCGAATAAATATTGAGCCGAAATATAAACTCTAGCGTGTTTCGTTTGCTGGCGCACATGAAAATTGCTTACAGGCAAACTAAAAACGAAAAGATGCTTATCACTAGAGACGGTTGGTTTTTCTTCGACATGTTTTCCATACAAAATCGTAGCAAATATTTCCACGAGGGAGAAGATAAAATCCAAAAAAGATTGTTTTTCCTCAAATTTCGTCATTCACATTTCCTTTTTTTTTATTTTTTTTTATATACATTAAATGAAAATAAAGTTATTATGTAATTGATTTAATAGTAATAACAAGAAGAAGACGGGAAGAAGGGAAAGTTTAGTTTTAAATCAATTTTAATGATTTTGAGGAAATGAGGATAGCATTTTATCATTGCAATGATATAAAACTACACGAGAACCATGGGCTGCTGCTCTTTTTCACACATACGTACATGCATACATACGCGATAATTTCAATGAAACTCTATTAACAATTTGAGGTTAGCTGCAATGTCTGTCCGGGCATATGGTTAACAGTACCAACGGAACATTGTCGCGTAAGTAACACTTTAAGAAAAAAGAGAAAAAATGGAGCAAAAAGACAATTATTCAAAATTATGTTTATATTGCAAGGTATGTTGCATATAAAATGTCTTGAGATGTAACTTTTATTTGTCTTAAGCCGATTATTAAGTGCTCTTCGTTCAGCCTTTAAGTCACTTATTATTACAAAGTGAAATGCTTCTTCTACATGCGTGGCATATGGGTGACAAGTAAAATGCATTTTCTTCTACATAGACAGCGGATTGCGAACATCCAGTGGTCATTAGAAAATTTCCAGCCCTAAGCACTGTTTTAACCTTCCATAGGGATAGGGATATACGGATGAGTTTTGAAGTTTCTAATCTATTTGCAATAGAAGAATGTCTGGTATATTGGTGATACACATACATTCGAAGCAAGATTTCTTGTACTTACATTCTTGCAAGAAGGTAATGAATGCGTGAATAAACGAAAATAGGGAGAAGAGCAGAGAAGACAAGAGAAAAGGAGAGAACAAAAGAAAAGATAAGAAAAGAAAATAGAAAGGGAGAGAAGAGCAAAAAGAGAAGAGATAATGAATTACGATAAGAAAGAAGAAGAGAAGAGAAGAGAAGAGAAGGACAGAACAAAAGAAAAGATAAGAAAAGAAAATATAAAGGCAGAGAAGTGCAAAAAGAGAAGAGAGATTGAAATACGATAAGAAAGGAAAAGGGAAGAGAAATGAAGAGAAGAGAAAAGGAGAGAACAAAAGAAAAGATAAGATAAGAATGGAGAAAGCTAGAGAAAGGGAAAACGACAAGGGAGAATGAAACAGGATAAGAAAGGAGAAGAGAAGAGAAGAGAAGGACAGAACAGAAGAAAAGATAGGAAAAGAAAGGAGAAAGGAAGAGGAAAGGAAAAAGGGAAGAGAGAATGAAACAAGATAAGAAAGGAGAAGAGAAGCTAAGGACAGAACAAAAGAAACGATAAGAAAAGAAAATAGAAAGGAAGAAAAGAGCAAAAAGAGAAGAGAGAATGAAACACGATAAGAAAGGAGAAGAGAAGAGAAAAAGAAAACACGACAAGACAAAGGAAGAAAGGATAAGAAAAGCAAAAGCCAATAAATAAGCGAAAATGCGTGCACTTGGTCAGCTTTTCGATATGATCTTCCTCCCCGGATCAATGCAACGTTAAACTTGACATGCCTCTCGTATTTGGTGTTGAGCGCACGAGCAAAAAACAATACTGAATAAATCGAAGTAAAACTATTGAATGATATGCATAGGTGCACATGTTCAATGAGCAAATACAGGAAAACCACAAAATTGAATTTACCGCCTCACATGATTTTGATGCATTGATTTTTATTTTAATTTGTTTTTTGTTTTTTTTCCGTTGCTGTTTCTGTTTCTGTTACATTTTACATTTCGATATTTCTTTTGCATTATTTTTATTTAAAACCCCGGCTAATAAACTTAAGAAAATGATTGAATTGTAGCTTTTCCATTCAAATGGTTTAAAGATAGATGTGGTAAGACATATTTATACGCAAGTATCCGTACAACGGTTAGCTGTTAAGTGTGTCTCGAAGATGTAGTTTAGATGTCAGTTGCGCTAACACACAACAATGAAGTTACACAACAGTTATTTCACAGATATTTCTTGGTAACCGAAACCGCAAGAAAAGGACACTACTTCTGAAGCAAGAGAGGGCTTCTTGTAAATGTTTAAACGAGTTTACCAACAAAAGTTAGGCATGTTTTATTATTTGTACTCTAAACCAAATGTAGTGCAAGGGTATATTAAACCGGTAGGCAACACCCAGAAGCTTGCCCTTCTGTCCTTTTATACTCTTTTGTTCAACCTATAAATCGCAATTTTTCGATTTTTTTGGAACACGGCACTACAACCTGTTTTGGACTTTGCCTGAACACTTGAGATTGACCCATCCCGTTTACGGCTAATGATTCTAAGCTTGTCGGTCCTTCTGTCCGTTTTATGTTCAACTGAAAGGTCGCAATTTTTGGGAATTTTTTTTATGACCGCCATGTTTTGGCCCAAGAACGGAAGCTATTGAAAATGGTTCGGATTATGCCGCTTCCAATATAATGTGTACCTCTGAAAAGCTGTTATACTATAATGTTTTTTTACTTGTTTAAAATGCAACTTGGACTAAGCTTCTACTTAACGATATCTCAGTTACGAAAATAATATCAATGGATTCAACTGTTCCTGCATAATTAATAAATAGCTGCGTGCACATAAAGCGGACTGCAAGTGCCATCAAATCGTGAGAAAATCTATTTTCTAACACTTACTTTTGTGGAACGATATACGATATATACGACATCCTATACGATTAATATGAGAATCTTCGGTGTGTCTGTTGATTATAAAACCTGTTGCAAAGATGTCTTAATAGCGCGTAGATGATGGCCAATGTAAAAGTGCTCTGAATCGCCACAACTGATACACTCAACAAAGCATCGAACAAAACATATTACGCCTATGACGGATAGCTTTGAGGTGGAGAGGACTAAGAACTCGCTTTAAAGCGGGCACAAGTTTTATGCGGCTCAACGCCTACACGTCTATGAGTTTTGCATACTAGGCTCGATTTAAAACGAATTTCACAAGTTTACCATGTCGAAAATGTTAAACACGTATATGAAAATTGCATAAATCTTTAATTTAATCTGTCTGACGGATAGCGAATTTTTTTTTCGCGGTTAGAAAGCAACCGCTTGGAGCCTGGTTACTGGAAGGAAAGTGAAAAGCTTGTTGCAACCTTAGCATGCGAGGCGGTCGAGGATTTAAAACTGTTTTGAGTCTTGGGTGTCTAAATCGCCATCTCCACATCAAAACTGATAGGCGGGAATATTTTCCTTCAATATGTCCACCAATTTGTCTTATAAAGTTTGTTTCTAATTCGTTCGGAAATCTTCTCCATCTTGTTTATAGGATTGTAAAAGGGATTGATTTTCTTTGGTTTGTTTGTTTGTCCCTATTGGCACACGCAGGCAGAGTCGTTGCTCATTAGGTAGTCGTTCAGCAAAAGCGTTACTTGTACGTTATAAGAGATAATTCGATTCATTCTAAAAAAAAGTCTACCATTACGTCCAGGGTTGATGTATGCACAACAGTTTGCGACAAATGTGACATTTTTAATTAAAATGCCAAAATACTATCAATAGCAATAGAGTACATCTACATAAAATAGGGTTTGAAAGGTTATTTGAATTTCACATAACCAACATATTCGTAGATATTTTACGGTAGATTAGCTGAAACCGATCGCTTGCAAACTTTTGTTCGAATCATTCGTCTATGCCAGCATGTATGCACGTATGAAGGAAGACAACTACGTAAGTCATTAAACACTTGGGAATCTTATTTTATAGGTCAGACTTGTTGGTTTCGTCGTCATGTCATTTAAGGTTGTACGGAGATAAGCAATAAAAACCAAAAAAAAAAAAAAACAAAACAAATAAATAAAAGAAAATCAAGTTCACATGTTATGTATGAAGGGAACGACAACAGTTTGGGTTTTGTTTATGGAATATTTGCAAAATAATTTACTTACTTTTCTTTTTTAGAAAGGGCGGTGGATCACTGGGCATACCCCTCGGATCAGACATTTCCATTAACGGATTGTAGAGTTTACCTGGGTCGATACCAGGCGGAAAAAGACCCAAAGGTGAATCGAGGCCGAACACTAAAATTAGACAAGAAAAAATTATTCGTAAATATTCTTAAAATTAAATTAATGCATTAATTAAGTAAAGCCTTAAAAGAAAATTTAGTAAAAATTTCCCACTTTCCCACCACCAAAAATATCCTTTATAATCTTTAGCAGCGGAAGATCCTTTTTTGACTTTTTTCCCCTATTCGCGTAACACGATGACGATTCCAAAGAAACGAGGAAAGAGAAAGAGAGAGGTCGTTTGGCTTTACCGACTGAGTACACACCAAAATAAACTCCACCGCACCGAGATATGACCTCACGAGTTGTTACTTAGTTACTTAGCTATTCAGGCCAATTTAGCTAAGGCCGGCAATCTGCACCTTCAACCAATTCTCGGCTTACTGGCCTTTTTATACAAAGTGGGCCGAAAGAAAAACCCGGAATTCGCCCCAACGGACAAAAAATGTTTATATAAAACTTGGTATACATATTCACAAGGATTCTTAGAAAAGTTTTGTAATGATCAATCATTCTTATCCATCACTTGAAACGATCATAATTAGAAGATTTGTAAATTTTACATGGTCGACGACGGTTTGCGCTACTTAGAAATACGTAACGAAGATCTCGTGACTTTGTTTAGTATTATGAGCTCATCTTTTACATCTAAGAACTACAACTAGATGCGGGACTTCGAGTGATAAGCTTCCTACATGGAGTGACTAACGAATTGGAGAAGGGGAACGCGGAAAAGAATATCGATTAAAAATGCGTGCTGCCCTAATCAGATTTCAATTCGATATAAATATTGTTATAGATTTAATGCAAAAACGATCGTCGTTTGTGATGTCCGAGAACGTCTCTTATTTACTTCTTGAAATATTATTGATCAGCATAATTGACTTACTGATTTCATTTAATGTAGTGCCGACTGTCTATCCGGGTTTACGCGCGTCTAGCCGTGGAAGTGGAGTTGGGAAATTGAAACTTAGCGTGTGCGCCCCCTAATCGATGGGGACACAGTTTAATTCGAAAAAAGAATGACACCACCGTTCGCGCCCATAATGTCGTACAATCTTTAATTTAATACGAGAATTGAGTTGCTCCGCTTGTGATCACGTCCACAACGGATAACAAATTGTGCTTATACATTACAAGCGTAACTGACCTAAACTCAGTTATAAATATTTTGCGGAATAAGGGCGAAAGAGCAGTTTATAAGTCACCTCAGCGGCACGTTCAAAACAAAACTTAGCAAAACGAACATAATATTTGGGTTTGTTGTAGTGTATATTAAAGATTCGCCTTCACGGGCATGTAATCTTTGTATTGTCTCTTAAGAGGTCCTTTTCTTCTTGTCGTTTTTCTACGTTTTCTAGTTATTGCAACTTCACGGAGCTCTGTCAATAATTTTTATAAGAACTTGGCTCATCAGCGAGAAAACAATAGCACTTATTATTCTATTAAGATTTTACGCTTGAAGTGCGCTCGTTTATTCTTTTAAATGCACGTATACATACACACAAAGATTTAGGTGAATAAATGTGTGCATTCATTACACATGCTCTTCAGTAGTGAATTCATTGAATACAATATAACTAAATTAAGGAGTTTGAAAAGATGGCAAAAAGAGATAGAGAGAGAGAGAGAGAGAGAGAGAGAGAGAGAGAGAGAGAGAGAGAGAGAGAGAGAGAGAGAGAGAGAGAGAGAGAGAGAGAGAGAGACAGGAATCGTGTATTGCATAAGCTAACTGCAAAGGTTGTCAAACAAGTCCTTCTTTTCTATAAAAGTGGAATCACATGACACTCGCACATACACGCAAATTTGACAGTTATAACGGTAATGATTTAGTGACAGTTTGTATTAAATGATTGCTTAAAATTTATTCATCATATATATGAAAGCTTACGGAAAAAAAAAAAATTCATAATAATCTAGAAAACGAATAATAGATTAGTATATGTAAGTATGCATGCATGTGTGTAAGAGAGAGAGTAAAGGAAAGAGAGATCCTTAAGAAATTGTTAAAGAAAATATATTTAAGTCATTCAAGTTATGCCAAAGGAATCCTGGTATGTATGCGTGTCTGCTCACATACCTACCTACCTACTACGTGTATGTAAGTAAGTATATGACAGTTTTTATTATAATGACAATCATTCATAATGATTCATAAAAGCGGAAGAATCGAGATGAAGACTAAATAAAAGAAAAATAATAGGATGCGTGGTTTTTTCTTTGCTACTTTGCATTGTTTCTGCTGCTTAAGGTTTCTCAAAGGAGATGTATGTGATTTTTCTAGAGATTTTTTTATTGTACGCTTGACAATCAAAAAAATACTAAGCCCAAAACAAGTTAAACACAACTAATTCATTGAATTCATATTCGCGCGCACGAAGTACAGTGGCACATACGCTATAGTTGGGCTCATTAATTTTTAGACTATCTTGTACTTGCATTTAGCCTTTGCTGATGTGCGGGAGGATGCGCTATGTGAGGAGAGGATGTATGCGCTTATTATATTTGCATTTAATGTACATATTAGTTCAATGATTTTTCTTACACAAAATTTTATTTATTTTTTGGCATATAACTCTTGACTTCCTTGACTTTCAGCTAACAGTGCAATGAATCGAATACTCTTTCCAAGGGATTCGTTCTCAAATAAAAACATCGGAATTCTTTACGTATTTTTTCAAGGATTTTTTTTTTTTCTTACATACACGCGCAACCATATATCATTTTTTTTCATTTCATTTTGTATGTCTGTCTGTCTGTCTGTCTGTCTATCTGCCTGTTCGCTGTTTCTTATCATACCTTCAGGTTATTTATGCAGTAGTTAGTGGAGTTTTTCATACATTATTATATAGATTTTTGTCGCATTACCTATGTCGCGCGTTTGCATAAAATCGCTTACATATATAAGTAAGTATATAAGTAAGTAAGTAAACCCCATAAGTAGACATTTCTTTTTTCATATTTATGCACATATGTAAGTTTGTTGCGTACGTTTGTTTATTTGTTTGTTTGTTTATTCCTTTGCCAGCCTTAATTTATTTTATATATCCTTTAAAATCTATACGTGTGCGCATGTATGTCCGTCTTGCACAATTTGTTTAATACATTTTTTCTTTTGAATTTCGCTTTCTTTTCTACGCGAACGGATATTATTAATACGTGGAAAATATATGAAAAGATATTTAAAGATGTTAACGGCGTAAATGTGTAATTCCACGCAATGACTGTCTGCCTGTCCCATTGTCTGACTCTTCGTCAGCTAAGCAGTAGGAATGAAATTGTCCTCACAAATTTTTTCGTTCATATTTTCTTAAACTATTATCCACACAAAAATCATATAATTTGCAAAATTCCTTTAAGAATAACGCTTCGACTTGTAGCGGTTAGGATGTGCAACTACAGTAAGGTTCACACCAGTCAGCGTCATAGGTGATAAAGATATAAGAGAAATTTTTTTAATCGATTTGTAGTACTTATTAAGAACCACCGTGTAAAAGCCCCTCGAGCTGTACATAAATAACACACATACAAAGCAATCGATATCGTGTGCTATTACTGAAAGTCTATATTTTTAGATCTTTCTTAAGTTGTTTCAAGACTTATTTATAAAAAAGGACTCACGAGGAAAATCTTTGATTTCCATTCCCTCAAATACATACATAAAAATTGCGATGTAAGTTGTCAATTAAGGACGAGTCGGTTATTCGATAACGATGCCCTTGCGAAATACTTTTGCCGATCTTAAATGTATAGCTGTTTAGCATCAAAAATAAAAGATTTCATTGTCAAGACGCTACACCACATTGCCTAATACAATAGTTAAGTTATTTTTTTCATGAACCGCTGTCTAATAACCCCTTACCACGTAAAGGGCTATCTTATAGCGCAGACATAGGAACACTCAAAATGTTGTCCAAATCAGGCAAAGCTAATTTTTTCTGTACAAAACTTATTATTCTTCAGCTATTTTTGTCGTAAAATATTCAAAATTAGACTGATAGCATATAGGGATCTGCCTTCTAAAAAGAGCTTACATGGAAGGGGTCAGGGGGCTTATATGGTTCAAGCTTACTGCGGTAAGCCTATCTACCAAATCGCTATTCTGGACAAATTTCCATTTTAAAGATCTACAAATTTGCCCTTCTTATCATATGGACTCCAAAGAGTGTTCATAGCCCTTTCTGGTCCAAATCGACTTTGTATACCAAAATACTGTTTCCTTGCTATTTTTTCGAGAACTAATTTTCTTCTAAAGTACATTTTATATGGGAAGTCATCATAAAACAACGTCCGTTCTTGGGGCGAAGTCCGCTATTGTACTACGAGCAAATGTGATGTAGCTTAGACGTGGTGTGGCCTAAATTAGTGTAGAAAATGATTCCGAATCGATCGGTATAATGAAAACAAAGAGTTTATCTCAAGTCTCTTTAGATGTCACACACTTTACGTATGCTGCACCTATGTGAATATTAAAATATATTAGGTATATCGGATAAGCGCGAAATTTGAATTGCTTTAGACATGTCCCTGCAGTTATCTACAAGTTGCTGAACTCTCTTGATGACAAAGGGGCAGCTGGAGAAGACACAGTTGCAAGTGTAGGCCCCTATATAAAAGCTGCATTTGCTAAGGCCTGGGAAATTCTTGATACAACGAAAATTTTAAAGCGTTATCTTCAAGATTAATGATTTGAAGCGGAAGAAGTGAAAAAGGCCTAGCAATCCTTGTATGCTTGCCTAAGTAGGCTGGATATACAACTTTGTTATCCTGTTGCAATCGCAACTTTCAGATTTTGTGTGATATACACATTGGAGAGATTTGATTATAAGACTTTTACTCGAGCATTAAATTTAATCTGTTACTTAGAGTAAAAGACATATTTGCCACAGATATGAAGTTTAAATTTGAATTTAAACGACATAGGAAAACGCAGCCGTAGGGACAAATAGACATGGCCAGCTCACTTGTACGCGTAAGAAACTCAAACGTACATGTCTGATAAAATGCTTTGCCAGTAAAAGAGAAATAGGAAACGGTTACATGTAATCATACCCTTTTCGCTGCGTTGCTCGACTGACTTCCAGCAACACTCTGCACTTATCTCTCAAGAAAGTGCGCCGGTTATGCCAGTTACTTTCGAGTGAACATACAAGTCCCTGTGGTCCCTATATACCTAATCGCTTATCTTGCACTCTCATTCTTCTTATGTTACTCTGCCCTCTTCCCATGGAAGACGATTTAGTCCAAGTTAATTGTCCTCATTTCGAAAATGAAAATTCTCGGATTATCAAGAAATAAATTGGTACTCCGCATATTTGTACACACACAGTGTCATGTATTTCCGTTTTCTGAACCCTTAAAGATATAACAAAAATTTTTCTCCATTTCAAGCTTTTGCGCCAACGTTTAAGTTCATTTTATTTACTGCATTCTACAAGAGAAAAAAATCTTTGAAATATGCAAACGGATGTTTGTTGGTTGCGGAGATATCTAAAGAAAAGCCGTGATTGTTATAATAATTGACGGTGGCATAGGCATCGTTCCTTTTATTGCATAGAAGAACCTATTGAAGCCTGCAGAATTAAATAGGTCTTTGACAGTGATAACCTAGTTGCCTCGTTTAAGCATGTATATTTCAATTAGATGAAAAGTGGTATAAGTCCTCGTTTACGCTTTTAGGAAAAGTAATTTTCACCTTTCTTCGGTTTAATTTTTGTTTTTTTTCTGTGTTTTTAACATCAATTCCTGTCTAGTGCAGTGCCTTTATTTTATTCTTTTTTGTAAACTTCAAAGCGTTGGCAAATTGTCTTAATATAAATCGATTTATTTTCTTTCCTTTCCTTTTTTTGTTTTTTTTTTTATTACTGTATATAACAAGCGACAATAACAGCAACCAACTGTTGCATTTGTAAATTGTAGCTGCATTTGAAAGACTATTATAAAGGACTGCTTGACTACTAACTGACTCCCTATGCTACTTAGGGGTACAAAGTCAGCCAACACATGTTGCATCATCGTCATTATCAACACACTCTGTGAGTATGTGCTATAAGTAGCAAAACATGATGAAAAAGAAATGCAAAATAAAAACAAGAATGACAGCGACAACAACGACAACAACAACGAAAAAACGGAAAATGAATAAAGGCTGACGACGAATTTTGTAAACTGAACACATTTTTGAGAGAAATATAATAAATTTCTTCACAAAATATGTTTCACATGAATACAAAAAGACTGCCGTAGAATATCGGGCAAATATGGCTTGTGATAAGGTATATGCTGAATCTGTTAATATTTCAAAACCATCTCAAATCCCTTTACAGGGTTGATATGTGAAGATCAGCTAAATGCTTGCACAACGGCTTTTAGTGTTTTCATCTCAGTCTGAAAGTCAGCTTGGATTGACAATTCATGTTGTGCTCTTCACTTTTTAAACTTGAACAAATTTTCAATGGATTGCAGAAAATGTCAACGGGCAGAGATGTGTATACTTTGAAATCATTTTGAAAGGTCAACCTCTCAATCATGAGTGTGCGTTCAGCATACCTTGTTATTTACTCATTTAATTATTGATCAAAAACACAATGACGATAGCCATCGTCGCATGGTGCATATGGGGAAAATTTATTCGTTTTAGGAAAAATTATGGTTGCTATCACAAAACATAAAAAAATACAAAATATTTAATGAAAACTGTGAACGCCCGCAGATAATCTATCAGTTACAGAAGCACTACAAGAACAATAATAAATTACGTTGTTATGAAATTTGATACCTTTTCGGCCTGCACTTGCTGCTTGCGTGCTTGGCGGCCTCTTACTTCCCAGCCCGATCTATGAAAACAGATGAAACGCGTAAGCGACAATTTTCAATGTTTCAGTTCGCGAAAGCTATAGCAGCGGATGGACGAATGGACAGACAGCAAGAAATCATACGCTTTCTTGCGGATCTTGGGTGCAACAAACGAAATGGCAAAAGTAGTAAACCTTTCTTCCATCGGTGCTGTTTATGAAAATCATTTAACGAATATGTTGATATTGCTTGCATTCAAGAAAAGCAGAAAGAATGACGCAAGGAATCAAGTCTTTATGCCGATACATGCAAAGTACAAAACGTACGAGGTATTAGCAGAGACAGTTGCACAATTGTGGCAAAGTTAGGACAGACAGAAAAAAAACCTTTCTGTTTAAAAATACAAAAAAAAAAAAGTTGGAAAATAGAAAGGAGTCCTAAAAGTAAATGTCAAGTATATGCTGGTGTTGTAAATCGCGCTGCTTTGCACATAGAGTAACGGCAAGCTTGTCGCTTTACACACATTAAGAGAACATGCGAATGCGAATGTGTGTATGTATGTGTTTATGGCTTTGTGTGTGTCCGTCCATATGTACGTGTGAGTGAATGACACATTTATTAAGGATTTCCGCTTGTTTTATGTACATTTAATATGTTTGACTTTGCTAAGCACTCCTTTTTTTTTAATGTGTTCACTGTTTTTCTAAAGGATGTCAACCGGCTTTTTTTACATTGAAATTTCTTCTCAAAAAAAAAAAAAAATACGAAATAAAAGAACTACGCTGAGTACTCACTGTGCGGCGGCGTTAAAGTTAACGCCGTTGACATACCGGGAAAGGGCAGCGGCGAAGGTGGATGCGGCGGTCCATCCTGTGGATTGTAATGCGGGGGCAGGCTCATTGGTGAACTGGGTCCGAATTCCTTACTCAAACGATTCATACTCTCCTCTAATCGTTCATGAGGCGCTTGCCCACCTGGTCCGAGCGGTGGACCAGTCGAACCCGGCCCAAAAGGGGCCATGCTTGGCATACCCATCTGATTCAGTATGCTGTTCGCATAAGCATTATGTTGTTGTTGTAATTCGCGTTGCTCTCTTTGCAAGGCTTGGTCTCTTTCTCGGGAGTGCTGATGGGAGACGGCTGCTGCGGCCGCTGCGGCCGCTAACGACAAGTCCATTTGATGTTCCATTTCGTGGAAAGGATTTTTTCCACTAGCTGCTGCTGCTGCCGCTGCGGCTGCTGCGGCTGCTTGCATCTGGGCTTCTAAGGCTTCCATTTTACATTGGTTCTCCATAGAAGCACGATCTAAGCGTAAATCTCTTATACCTGACCCCGTAAACGGATGCATGTTGCTGTTGCTCGAGTTAGGTGTAGACGACGATGGAGGCTTGTTTAGGTGACGTATATCCTTTAAGGATAATACGACTCGATTATTGTGATTGCTATGGTTGTTATTTAATTTGCTACTATCATTATTGTTTAGCGGGCTATCGTCGTTGTCGGATGCTGAATGGTTACCGCTGGTGTCGTTGTCTTTTTTCGTTGTGCACAAGTCTTCAGGACCTTCCGAGTTTAGGGACATCGTTGATTTCCTTCGTCTATTTAATTCATTTGAATTCAAAATTAAATCTTCTAGATCCTCTTCTTCTTCGCGTTCTTCCTCTTCTTCCTGCTCTTCGTCGTCATCATCTAAATCGCCGGTATTCGTTAAATCGTCTTGCCTGTTTATTTCTGAGCCAAACTCGTGAAAAGCTTGTTCTCCACGAGTTTTCTCTTGCTGTGCCTCTTCACTATTTTCGCGACTATCGTTTCCATGACCGCTGTCCACTTCATTCGTTCGGATCTCGCTTTCTTCTTGACTTCGACTGACACCTCGCTCTTCTATTTCGCCTACTTCGTCTTCTTCCATAGGTTCTACTTGTTCGGATTTAATCACAGTTTTTATAGCTTCCATTGACGCATTGCATGGATTAAATGCTAATTCAGTAGGCTCATCGTTTTTCTCCGATTCTATTCTGCAATCTTTGGGGGCAGGTGAATTTGACTGACTATGTACGTCTTGAGGCATGTCGCTCGAGCGCCGACGGGGTCTCGCTTGCTTACGTCTAGGTATGGGCGATGTGCACTTTTCATTGTGTACCAAAGCTTCAGGCGTAAACTCATGATCACTATGATCTATTTCGTGGTCCAGAGTACGTTCTTTTTTTTCTCTTTTCCGCTCTTTCTCACGGCGTTTGGAAGCATTGAATAACCGCGATGGTAGTATGATTTTCGAAGCCGAGGTAACCATGGAAGGTGATTCCTCATCAAAGCTGGAACGTCTTTCCAATTCCGAGCTGAGCAGCGAAGCGTCGATCATACCGAAGTCGTCAGGGGAAGCGGCGGGCGTGGGTGTATGTTCTGGTATAGAACTTTCAACTAAACCACGTATTTGCAATGACTCGCCAGCTTCCATTAAAATTTGAAGGCTTTGCTGCGGCACACTGATCTCCCCGCGGTACATGAAATCTATAATGGCCTGCATTACCCACCCTCGGAAATCTTTAAGGACTATAACGGGATGCTTGCAGGGGGTATCGGCAAAGACGCGCTGAAAGAAAGGTGAGCAAGCAGACAAAACCATTTTATGAGCGCGTATACTTGTTTCCGCGCACACCAATGTGACGTCCACCAGCGTTTTGGTTTGGAGTAATGCATCGAAAGCTCTCATAATATGATTTTGATGATTATTCCATCTCAAGCTATAATGATCGGGTATTGAAGCCGTAGGCGTTGTTGTTACATTATTATTAAGCAACGAAGCTGCCATCGTCGAAGGCGTTAGTGAAGGCAAGGTTAGAGCATTTGAAGAAGAGTTCGTATTGATCGTTGGCAACGCGCTTGATACCGACGTCGTAGTTAAGGCTAACGCTACTTCGGGCGACTGACGGTCTAAAGCCATGTTTAGTGGATACGTTGTCGATGGCGTTATATCGGGTGACATAAATGTTTCCGGTCCCAGCTGCAGCCCGTTGTCGGTCGTTGACGACTGTTTGCGTCTTTTAGTGATTTCCTGCGAATCTTTTAACATTCAGTCTGCGTTCTTTGTTTATCAGAGCTTGCCAATATTCCCGCTTCTGTTTTTAGCTCAAGTTGAGCATAAAAAATAAACAAAAAAAAAGCACGTGAGCTCGAAGGGTATCACGTGATTTGCGTCAGATTTTTTATGTTGCGTTTGTTTACTTCTATCGCTGGTTGTTGGTGGTGTAAAAGCTTCTTGTTGAACTATGTTGAAGTAGATGGAAATTTTTGTTTTCGTTTTTTGTTTTTTTTTTTTGCTGTTTGCCACGTTATTCACTATGTCTGCGGGTATGGTTGCCTTTGCTTTCGGTAGCGTTTCGTCTTATCAAATCTTTTGTTGACGTTGATGATGTTGTCTGTAAGAATAAAAACAAAAAAAAAACACGCACGTTACTCTTAGCTATGTCTCTAAGTAAACATAATAACATACATAAATACATCTTTTAATAAAGTAATGAGAATTTCTTATCACATACGTATTTAAAGAGATAAATTTAAAGGAAGTCTCTGGAACGACAGTTGCGGAGAAACATCGGTTATGGATTTTGTATTTGGTTAATACAGTAATAGTTAGCTTCGTTGAAAATATCGAACTACCGAGGGCAGGAGGAAGTGACATAAACCTAAAAGTGCTAACCAAAGGGTCATTCTTTTGTATAAAATTCATTGCGAGTCACCTTCGTTAGCAAACGCAGAGCAAGGAAAATGAGGCAAATGCAGAATTTTCTTCAGCTGAAAGTCCTGCCTAGAGAACAACTAGGGTTGGTTTAGCTAGGTGCCAGGTGTCTATGTATGTATTGATATCCACTATAGAAAATATTTTTAAATTTGCCTAATTCTCAAGTATCTACTCGATATTTTTACTATTTAAGGAGGTCTATGTAGGCGTTATGGTTTGTGCCTTTAAACTAAGATTAAATATTAACCACTTTAGCATACTATACTATACATACTATTGTGTATAAAAGTAACCACCTTTTGGCGCGGGACTAACAAGCGCTGAGTTATTGTCCGAGTACAAGGCACACCAAAGTACTGCCTGATTGCGTTATGTACAAGTTGCAGCTATCGGCAAAGTTATTACACACTTCAAATTAAAATTGGCGTAAAGTTTAAGATCGATTCCAAACTACAAGCGTAGACTTAAAACAATATTTGGCACATTTTGAAGCTTTTTCCAGCTTTCATTTTATAATGGGACTATTTATCAATTTGATCGGAGAAACTGAAGTCAAATTGTACGACGCCATTTTGAATATAAAATCTTTTGGCAGATGATCGGAAGAACACCTAAGATATTACGTGAACTCGAGACGTCAGATGCAAAATGGCTTTAAAATCGTGATTGGAATTTTGCCGTTCAATTCATCTCTATGCAGGCCGCGTAGTGATGTTGTCCTGCTCCGATATAAATAAAATGTTAATCAATTCCGTCATCTTTTACTGACGTTGTCCAGAGAGAGCTTAACACTTTAAACTTACATTAAAAGAAGCTCTTACGTCAGCGCCTGGCCAATTATTTTGCTGAGAGGGCATCTATTCGCAAATGTGAAGGCCGCTTTGCAGTATATAGTATATTACTTTTACTCAAATTATCCTTTCGAATTTTTTTACTATTTATAGCTGTTCACGTAGCGCGAATAAACGACAGGAGATTTCTTTTTATATTAGATAAAGTTCTTTAAAGTATTGAACTGGTCAAAAGTCGAATGCTTAAAGTTACAAGTATCTAAAGCTTAAAATCAGTACATGAGTTCGCTTGTTGCTAGCGTGTGGCCGGCTGTTTGTCAATGCTTGATACCTTTGCGTCAGACAGCAGTGATGAACAATTTTGTGGAATATGTCGTATAGCTCAGCAAAAAAAATTTCGCTTAAGATAACTTAAAACAAGTTAAAACATTGTAGTTCGGCAAATCAGACCATGGAAGTTTCTACACCACTTCATCGATTGTAATTGAAAGCGAAAAAATTAACAAAAATTAGTGCTTGCTCCTTACTTACGCTCTTAAACGGTTTGTTGAAAGGGTATTATATGAGAGAAGACCTACAATCTAAACCGATGTAGTCCAGATTTGGTATAATTCATATTTTTTATCAGAGGTCAAACCGATTAAGGTCGAAAAGTTCTAAAACCTAGGCTTCGTTGCTGTATAGAAGCTTTTGTGGGCATTTTTTCGGGAGAAGCAGCCCAAAATATTCAACAATGGATTTTGAAATCAAGGAGATTTGGTATAATATTAAAAAGTAATTTGTGTTGCAAGTTAAAGGATCATTCTTTTTGGGACGATTATAGAGAACGGGCAAATTTTTCACTCACTTTTGGTACGTCAAAATTGGAAATGAATATTTTTTCATATGAACACTTCTTCCAAAATAGTGCGTACTGCAGTGAACGATGTTACACATGGACCGACACGACTTGCCCTTGAGTCAAAACATATCAGTCGATTACATTTTTTTTGATTTGATTAAAATAAAAACCGATCTATTGGTTGATCACAAGAAAACATGGCTAGGTATCAAAGGGGCAGGCACGCTTAAGATAATAAGCTCAACTTAAACTTTGATAAGTAAAACGTAAACTATCTACTTTCACTGCAGTAAAAGTTGCGCCTCTCTTCTACTGGCACGCGAACCTTGCACACTCCCACCACAACTTGTGGACGATACCAAAACATATTAACTTTAATAGTCTCTTTAAAACCTTGTATGCTTAACTTTCTTTTCATAATTATACTATTTTTCATATCTATCTTAAGGCTGATCAAAAAAATTTTCTTAAATCTTAATTTATTTCCTGAATTTTTTTTTTTTGCTCTCGCTTTCCTAATTATTGAAAAAGTAATGCATTTAAGTGTAAAGCATGTGTTAATATGCGGTTTCACAAGTCAACGTTATATGTAAGTGCCTATGTATGTATGCCTGTATGCACGTATGAGTGGATATACCATCCGCGACGTACGTACGTACATGTGCAGGCAAAGCAACTTTTTTAAAATGTTGTACAAATGTTGATGATTACAAAGAAAACAAAGACAAGATACTCTTGTCTTGAAGGAATGAAAAAATAAAAGTGAAAAAAAGTGAAAAAGAAACGAAATTAAAGAAGAACAACCGAGTAAATTTTGTGGTAACAGCTGTTTTAAAAGTAAATTACTACTAAACAGTATGTACGAACGCACGACGTGCACTTACATATGTGAGTGCAGGCGAATAGGTGCAAGAGAATATGCTTTCCTTTTACTTAACTCCAGCAACCGAATAAATGTTAAGTTTTTGTTTTTGTTTTTTTTTTTTTTTTCTATATATATGTATGATTGCAGGAACGAAAACTGCGGCGCATATCATTATCATCATCGTCTTTCATCGTCACGAGTTGCGTATGTTGTGTGATGTGCTGGAAACTCATCAACACTTTTATTTACTTGCACTACTACCTACCGTTCAGATGAGAAGAGTCAGCAGCAACAGAAAAAATTAAAAAATGTATATGAAAAAAATGTTTTTTTTTTTTTCTCAACTAAAAACTCGCATGTTTGCATATCCTTGATATGCATTCAGAAAGCAAATAACAACAATTCTGTTAAGCAGCAAAACAGATATGCAAAAAACTTTTTTAATTTTAGTCTTAAACCAACATATGAAGCTTTAAACTATGCTTAACTTACACACCTGTCTTCGGAAGAATACCGTTTTGTACCGTTTTTTTCCACTGTTTTGTTCACTGTCTCCCTCCCTCTTCTCTCTTCTGATTATTTGCCTAACAATACTGAATTAATTAGATGCGAAACTTAAGCTAAGAAAAAATAAAAGAAAAATCCTTCCTTTGCATGAAATGAGACGAGTTCGAAACAAAAGTGAAACAACTTTAGAAAGCATACATCAGCTATTAACGTACAACAAAAACAAACAACATATACGATTGAAATATCCTTAAGGATTTGCTTACAGGCACGTATCCTTTAGAAAAAATTAGAATTTTCTTTTCGTTTTTATAAACATGTTTAAGTCACATATGTCTTTTTAAATGTTTGAATAGGTGATTACGCGCATGAACATACGATATATGCATGGCGTTTATGCATCTATGATCACATAAATAATTGTCGTTTGGATTTTTTTCGAAAGGAAAGGGAAACAAATAAAAATTACTACTAAAGTAGCTAACAAAAAAAAAAAAAAGTGCTCGCTTGCACGGCGTTAATTGCAGAAACTATAACAGCACTTTAATGAGAGTTTATGATCTTCATGGGGAAAGGCATCTATCCATGGGTAAAAATACAAAGCTCCTGTCCGTTAAAATCCAAATGATGTGCAAATACCGCTCATCGAAAACATGAAATTCAAACGACTTATCATTTAATGTCCGCCGCATACTCTCTAGAGAAGATTTATTAAGCTTTCGCCTGCAAAGAGATGCCTGTGTTACTGGAAATGCGAAAACTTTAACTAAAACAGTTTACGCGAAACTTGATAATGACTACGTACGCGATTCGGCAACCATTTCCGATGGTACGTTATTGTAAGATTGTAGAAGAAGTTTGCTGTCGGAACCTAGAAAAGTGTTTCAGTCGGGACATAGATAACGGAGCAATCGCGATATCGTTACTGGGTGAACAATTCGCAAATAAAAGCAAAGAAGAAGATGAAATTGAATAAAAAATCAAAAAAATAATTCAAATAAATTATTTTATCGCACCGTAAATAATTCTTTGCTTTGGCCAACATTTTGGAATTTCCGTCATAAAGGAGATTAGATAGTCTTTATGTGTATTATACATTTCCGACTGCCGTGAACTCATCGCTGCACCCATCGACTCTTTAGTCAAGTACTGTTAACCCAAATACAAAAATTGTGATCGAGTTTACCCGCGACTCGCTGTATGCGACTTTTAAATGAGCACTATAATCAATCATATAACAGTGTATTCAAAAATTAAGGGGAATTTGTTTCTTTTCTACGGACAAATTTCAGTCCACAAGTATACACTTTATTATTTTGGGTTCATACGATTGTTATCAACGCTCGAGCATCGTCAACAGAGGTCAACAGCGTATAAATTAGAGGCTCTTCTCAGGCCTAGTGCTCAAAGAAAGATGTGGTCTCTATATCATGAAAAAAGAAAATACTCACCGCGATCGATACAGTACTCGTGAATGAATATTGATTTTGGCTGAAAAATTCACGAATCATTTTTGAATTGTTTTCAACGCTTCTGCACAAGTAATTTACATTTACTATTTAATCACAATACATTCCTTTGCTCAGTAAATATATATATTTGACGAATTCGCTGAAAACAATTTGCAGTAACCACAAAAGAAGATCAGACCTAATAAGCCAAATAACATGAGACATTTGCCGAAAACTAAAGATAACTCAACTAAGCTGACTAACTAAGAAATTTCAAGGACATCCGAAGAGCGTACTTAAAAAACAATAATTTCTTCGTTTTTTCAAAACATTAGCTTGTAATTAAGTATACTAAAGGATGAGTCATTCGGCTAAGCACTTTTTTCTCTAAACGTTCCGAAGAATGAAAATGTTGTCTTAATAAAGAAGGAAGGGAGGAAGGATTGCGCAGATCGTGTATTGAAACTATTTCACCTACAGTAGATAATGGAAAGTGTACTTTTATGCAAAAAACGAATACTGATAACAAAAATGGAGCGACCGCAAATAACTCGTGTCACTTTATAGTGATCGACCATCGGTAGAGACAATCAAGTTGTTTTTCGGGCTCGTTCAAAGCAGAACTGTATTACTATGTGAGGATGTTTTTATCGCCAACGGGTGAAAAAGATATGCACATCGTGAGATGCTTCGTACAGAAACTGTAGTGAATGCCCTGTGCAGGCTTCTTTGATGGCATTGAGAACGTTTTACTTACTCAGATAGAATAAAGGCATTAATACCGACTTTTTGGGTAAGATTAAATATTGAATTGTTTTTTTTTGGTCGTGTCGCGGAAGAAGCAGTTCCATAAAGCCGCCCATGTACTTATGACCCCGGCTCACCACCACTATAAGTTGGTATACTCCAAGACATTCTAAGTTTTATATTTCTATTTAGAGTTGTTGTTGTTGAGAGAGACATTAACAATAGGTAGACAGCGACATAAGTACACATGAAAATATAGATATAGCATTTATCAAGGATCGCGTGGAGTTTCAAGCAAAATTTTAGTTCTTGTTTAAAAGCAAATGCCTTAAGACTTACTTTAAGCGGGAAACCTTAGATTGTAAAATAAGTGCAAAAATTAATTGTAGAGAAAGGGAAACTTTACAAAATTTAATGATACAATAAAAAAAACTGGATTTTTGTCGACTGCCTTGGGCTACAGACGCTGTATTTTAGAAAGCGAAAGGCCTTGCCAGCGACGAGCGTGCACAAATTTCAAAATTGATAGTCTCAAAAAATATTGAGCCCGTTTGAAGAGATCCCGTCAAATATCTAATGGATATAAGCGTGAATCGCTTTAAAAAAAGCTCAATAGTTTTTAGATGGTTATGATAAAATTTCTCATAGACTCCACCGGGATATGTATGTATTATTTCTAATGCAGGGATTCATTTACCTCTAGATCAATCAAAGTCCTTTCGTTTTGTATATTTGTGTAAAATTTTTAAAGCTGAACTTGTTGTTGTTTTGTATTTCTTTTAATCGATATAAATTGCACGTAGTTTTCTTTTGATTTCACTAAAAATTCATTCATTTAATGTAGAGTTTTTTTTTTCAATTAAAACAATATAAGAAAAAATATAAAGGCAAATGAAATGGATCTGAAATGCCACTAAAACGTGAAGTAATTAAAATTTTTTCTTTAAGTAATTTAATAAAGTAGTCACACACATCTTTCAATTTCAATTTTAATTTTTATTTTCTTATTATTTTTAAAGCACACATGTTCTTCACACGACAAGTGTTCACTTTTAACTGTTTTCGTTTTGAAATAATGCAAATAAACATGGGATAGCGTATAATCGTAAGGCAGACAAGTAGTGGGCATAATAACATACCGTTCATGGTCATATATAAATATATATACATACATATATATATATATATATATATATCATATTTATGAGTTAACATATAAACATATTTACATGCATTTATATATGCGTATAGATACCTATTGTGCGTGTTTGTGTGTGTGAGTGTGTGTTTATATGAATGCATACAAACATATGTGATGAAACGAAATGAGGAGGGTAGAAAAGGACTTGTATTGTGAGAGACAATAATAACAAAAAAAAAAAAAAAAATACCAAAAATGTTTAAAAATTTTATTCATCAGGTGCGTGCGACCATGTGTGTTGACAAAATGCAAACGAAAAACTCAAGGAAAAAGGAAAACAAAGGAAAAAGAAAAAACCATAAGGGCTAAAATGTAAGGTGAACACAGGTAGATACACGTTATGCCAGCCACTACCATATGTGTACGATACGCATGGGAATGTTTACTCTCATCATAGGTTTCTTTCCACATTTACCCATACCTATGCATGAACATATGCATACACATACATATGCACGAATGTGTTTCGATTGTTCGAAAGACAAAGATAGGAGGTGCTTGCTACATATACTACGCAGTATACGTCTCATATGCACTTTCATACTGTATATACTCTTTACTCTCTACTTACTACTAACTAATCACATGTGCACACTTGAGTGTGTGTACGCTTGTACGCCTGTGTATATATATATGGCTTTTGTGTATAGTTTAGTTTTACTATATTTTCGTTTTTTTTTTTCGCACACATTTCGTTTTATGACTAAATATTTCAGTTTCTATTGGTTGTTGTTGTTAAGTTGAGATTTATGATTTTTATTACGTTGCACAAAGGCTTCCTTGTAAACGCATTTCGGATTTATTACTTTCCTTGGAAGGCATTTCAAAACACGATAGACAGATGCGTCGCTTTGAACGCAAAACATTTTATAAATATTTATGACTCTCTTAACAGTTTTAAAGGAATTAAGCCGCGATATTACAACTAATTCATAAAGAAAAAGGTCAGGAGGTACTTATATAAAACAGGTAATGCGCAGACAAGTGTCGCTTCCCTTCGTTTTGCGTTTAAACATCTTCGACGACTTCATTTCCCAAATTAAGATGTCATTTATTTATTCCTTCGTTCGCTTGCTAAAGTTTTTCACTCTTACGTATAAATCGGGGGAAATTTGAAAGAAATTCAAAGATTATTGGAAGACGTTCACTTCTTTTCAACAAGTTGTTTTTGTTGAATGTTGAAAATAATGAATTAATTACTAAACTACTGTACGATTTACGCAATAAATCAAAAAACAACCCATGCTCTGTGCAGTAGATATATCCGTCCGTCCATCCGTCGATCTTAAATCTTTGCATCTAAAAAGCAATCTTCGCTTCAGACTTCTTCTTGTCGATGTCGTTAGATAAAGTTTGAAGTGAGCTAGAGTTGTTTAAATTGTTGAAAAATTAAAAAAATTAGTCCGTACGTCCTTCAAAAATTAGTAAAGAAATTGGTAATAATGTGTGTTTTAGATCACAACCTCAAAATTTTAATTAAAATTGATAATTTGATTTAATATTTTTGTTACATAACAACATAAACGCAAATACGCCAAAGATCTCGCTTCTCGACCATTTCCGAAATACATTATGCATGTGCTACTGTGATTAAGAACAAGTAGCCTTACGTCTTCCTCAAGTACGATGCTATGGCGCGTTATGCATTTCTTGCTACGGATAACATTGATAACGTTTTCGCTGTCACGCCAAGAAATGCACTTTCCTAGATGACATTTAAAAAGCGGATTACATTAATTTACCACAAGTCGTGCTATCGATTAGGCGACATTTGTCAAAGAGGCTCCTGCCAATCTAAGCAAAAATAGATTTAGTTAAGATAAGCATAAATGCGAAGATTGCACTACTTTTCAGTTATCGCAATCTAGTCCCATATCATTGAGTATGCAGCCTTCCTTCTGTCGCACCCACTACAGTCATCGCATCTATTCAAGGCTGGTCTCGCGCCAAACCTACTCTAGCGGTGACGCCAATCATTATTTTTGTCAATCAATGCATGTGTTTGTAAGAAAACGAAGTTTCAAAATATTTCGCACTGTTGTTGTATTATTTTTCACAATTTGCATTAAAGCGGCCGATCGCCTGACTATTGCTACATTAGTAGTTTACCAAACAAAAGACAAATTTTATTACTGTATACAACTTCCCAAGACATTTTTTTTTTTTGGGATTTTTATGTCGTGAATTCCAAAGTGCGTAATCTTTTCTTTATTGAAGGCGCTAATCGGCTAACGACCGTAAATGTGTCGTAGATTAAAGTCATCGTAATTCCAGGTTTAAAAAAAAAAAAAAAAAAAAAATTTTTTTTTTGTTGTCGTTACCGTTTACTTATATAGCTAAAATTAGTGTCTTCCTGTGCTTACTGAACTGCTCTCAAGAGAAGTAGGCTGAGTTCACTATCGACCACGATGTAGATGATTTTCACAGATCAAATTGTGCCCTACGTAAAACACTTGACTACGGCAAAATTTGAATGATTCCGTTACGTTGTAGTTACAGCAGCCTGTGTCCGTATAATTGATGCTCAAATTTAAATTAAAGTAAGGAATTGATTTCCTTCATAATAGCAAGGGAAATATTCGGAAAAATCTCGATAAATATATAATGAAAATACTTTTCTTAACAATTTACATAAATGTCTAGAATGTACGCAAAGAAGTTTAGATTAAAGTGCTTTTCCACTGACTTCTCTGCAAAAAACCTATGCACAGAAAATAAGTACGAAAGGAATATTCGATGGTTTCAAAGCTTGGACTGTATTAGAAGCACTTAGTTTCGTTTTATCGGAAACCAAGCCAGAAAGGAAAAATGAGAATTTTCTTTTATCTGAGTTCGAAAAGTATTTGTGTCGTCTGTCTGGCAGTTCATTAGTTACTAAGGAAGACTAGGCGTAGGTTCATTGTTGTTGATCTGTAGAGTTGAACCACGAAAGAGAGAGAGAGAGAGAGAGAGAGAGAGACATTTTACGTTGACTTTCAACTTTGTCCAGACTACAATTTATGAAGCAAATTTTGTAGCGTTACCGGAAATTATATTATGAGTGTTTATTTCTGCGATGTGAATTCAAACTTCCCAAGTGCGTTAAAATTTTTTTTTGAACAAAAGAAGAAGAAAAGAAGATCACTGTATTTACGTCGATTGCATTCAATCATTTTAACTGTTTACGATTAAAGTGTAAATTTTTACGCCTTATGGACGGTGAAGATATCACATATACCTTGAGTTCATATATTTAGAGCGTGGCACGATAAGGAAAAATTTGGTTTAAGTGGTAGTCATGGGTTTTTGTCTTTTTTTTTTCAAATATTCTTCATGAGGGGACGGATCTAAGCGCAATTTGCCAAACTTTTACTATGGATCGGAGGGGGGCTCTTTGTGTTTGCTTTTTGTACCGTGTGCGTTTGTCCGTCTGTTCGTTCATCTTTCTTAGCGACAGTTGTGCGAAGTCCTTAGAAAGTCTTTTGAAGTGAACACAGCAATGTTAAGATTTGAAGGAAACGATCACGACAGCTAAGCAGCTGAAGTAATTTTGGAAATAAAAATTGCTTAATGCATTTGATCGATGTTCTCATCTCCGAGAAAGCTGTTATGAGAAAATAAAGAAACTTTTGAAAGCAATTATTTGGAGTTACTTTGAAAAAGTTTCTTCTTCTTCTCGCTTACACTATCGAGAAAAGTCCCGGTCTGTAGGAGAGCGTGACTTGACATTAAACTGATTATTGTATCAAGTTTCACTTCTCTGTTAATATTTATTATCTTTTCGCTTGCTTGATATTCGTTTTGTTGATTGTTTCGTTATTTTAAAATTTTATTAAACCCAAAGTTTGACTTCCGCGATTTATAACAGATGTGCGTATATTGGACACTTCTATGGAACTTTGCCAATATTTAAATTGCTTCCACCAACCGAAAAGCCTGGCAAACATCGACAGTTGCTTTCGAGTATTTAATATTTGGCAAAAAGTGGATTCAAGTTTAGATGGACTCATGAGAAAGATTTGCTTCATATATACTGGAAGCTTCTATAGAACTTTGCCAATAATAAAAGTGCTCCCATTAGCCGAAAAGCCTGACACAGTGGCGTATGTTAATCGCTCTAATTTGAAATAATTTGAATAATAAATTCACCAAAATTCAGGTCAGGTAGGCTTAGGTAGTTTCGTCACAAAGATTGACTTGGCGTATTCTTGCCAATACAACTGATATTCTATCAGTTAAAAATGGTGAAAAAGGAAAAAACAACAACAATAGCTTTTAATGATAATAATCCGAGATATGCTTAACGTGAATTTCGTTTTCGTACGTTAATACACGGCTTTTTTTCCATATATATATTTTTAAATTCGCATTCGATTGAATGATTTTTGCTCGTTTGGTTGTTTTTGATTTTCGCTTTCAATTTGATTTATAATTTATTATTATCTTTTTAACCAATTAATTTTACGATGTTAATAACTGTTTGACTCTCTGTTTGTTATTAAATTCCAATTTTGCACATTTAATTTATGTGCATAAATTTTTTAATTCATTTACAATTTTTCCATTTGTATTTATTTATTTTTTTTTCGCTTTTTAATTTTATCTTAAGTTTTCTTTTGTTATTATAACTTCTTAATTAAATCCCTTTTTTCCTACATTTATTATTGGTTTTAATTTAGTTTAATTTTTTAAAATTTTTATTATCATTACAAGGTCGTTTCATCCGTTTGTTGA